TTAGTTTTGTTTTTCTGCTTGCATGTATTGACTATTACCTATAAATAGGTTGGGTTATCCTCATCTGAAAGAATAATTCCAATTTCGTAAATAAGATTCCTTCAATTTCTCAGTTCTTTCAAAATTCTTTCTACATCGCTTTCTCTAATTTCTTGACACTTGCCACAACACACATTCTCCTTTTTGAAGAATTCCCTCCTAAATTTTAAAAAATACAAGTGATTTGAATTCCAACAGAGAACATAAGTTTTTCCATCATGCTCATCTCAGACGTACTTTGCATAAGTCTAGAAAAGTTCTCACAAAGACATTGGTAGAACCAAATATTATCTAATATTTTCTCCCGCTCACTTAACTGTTGATCAACCGATTGAAAACGAGAAGCCTCTTTAGTGTACCTTGATAACGGAGGAGGGTCCCGCCTATAAAGTACTCGGAAAGGAGAGGTCTCGAGTGCCGTATGATACGCTTTGTTATAAGAGAACTTTGCCCATGGCAGCCATTTGCTTTAATTTTTCTAGGTTTCCGAGACCCAAACCTCAAGTATTGTTCCAAACCTTTGGTCACCACTTCTTCCTAACCATCCGTTTGAGGGTGGTAAGCAGAACTGTATTTTAGCCTTATACTCTACAGTTTGAACAACTCCTTCCAGAAATTACTTACGAAAATTTTATCTCGATTTAAAACAATATCCCCCAGTATCCCATGCAATCTGGCAATTTCTTTGGAGAACACTTCTGTTACTGTTTGCACTGTAAAGGGATGTTTCAGACCCGCAAAAGGAGCATATTTGCTCAATAGGTCCATGAGTATTAAGATTGTACTCATTCTATTTGATCTCTTGTACTCATTCTATTTGATCTCGGTAGCCCTTCCATGAAATTTGTTGAGAGTTCTTCCCATATCGGCAAAGGCAAAGCCAAAGGCTGCAACAACCCAACCGGTGATCCACTCAAACTCTTGTTCGTTTGACATACCTTAAACTGTTTAACCAACTCCCCAATATCCCATGCTCTCTTCCTCGTAAAGGGGGCAACTCTTTTGGCATATTAAACACCCTCTCAAACTCTTCCGGTACTTGTTCCACTTCATCCTTTAGACTGTGTCTTCTAATGTCTGTAGAATCCATGATCCCAAATTCAATTAAGATCCCATGACCTTCTTGTTTCATCACCTTTCCCTTGGCTTTGAGTGAAGCTATCGATCTCCCCAACGCAGGATCACCCCTCACAGTAATTGTTTTCCCCTTTTACAGTGAACTTCATTACTTGTAACTCAAATTTGTATAAGTCGGCCCCAAGGTTTCCAACCATGGAACTCCAGTTATCACATTACTATTTTCTAATTGCAGTGGTAGAAATTCATCTATGATCTCTAGCCCTTGAATATGGATCACCACATTTCGACAAATCCCTCACCTTTCACTGCATTTCTTGTTTCCATTGTGATGCTACAATCCCTTGTACTCACGACCTTTAAGCACAACTTATCTACCACCCCTTTGGATATGAAATTATGGGTCAATCTACTGTCGATCAACACCACCACTTTCTGCTCTCCGATGATTCCTTCCATCTTCATCGTTCTGGATTTGTTATACCAATCATTGAATGATGTACTTCCACTGTGTTGTCCACTTCTATAACATCCGTCAAGTGTAGTTCCCTCGACTTCTTTCCCTTTAGTTTCATCACTGTCATCTTCCATCACCAACAACACACTTACTTCTATCTTCTTGCACTTGTGGCTGGGAGCATATTTCTCGTCACACCTAAAACAGAGACCTAACGCTCGTCTCTTCTATACTTCTTGATCAGACAACCTTCTAAACTCAATTTCGGTTTTCTCATTCTCAGGGGTTGTTAAACTTTAACTGTCCAATCCCCGATCCCTTATTATCTGAAGATAATCCCTTAGATCTCTTCGCCTATGTTGTTGATTTTTCCCTTCCAACAACCTGATTCTTCAATTCAATCTTCGATGCTAATTCCATAACGAAATTGGATTCATCATACGTAATTTTTCCTTAATTGCATTCTCTAGGCCATTAATAAACTAACTAAGGAATACTTCTTCTGGAATTCCCTCTACTCTGAGATACAACCCTCCTTTTTCAGTGCTAGAAATTCCTCACACGACGATCCAGCCCTATTGATCTAAATTGTCTCGGTAGCAACAATTTCAGATCCTCCCATCTCGTTATCGGATGTCTTTTGTTCTCTCATTGAAACCACTTCAAAGCATCTCCCTCAAAAGAGATCACCGGTACCTCAAACTTTTCCTCCTTATTCGATTGGTTTAATGAAAAATAGCGTTCCGTTTTGAAAATCCAACCGTCCAGATCCTTGCCATCAAACGTCGGGATCTCAAGTTTCCTACCTGTCACGAGCAGAAATCGGGATGAATCTGCCGATTCTTTCCTCTCTGGCGTTTTTTTCCTGAAGCTGATTCTTTCTCCTCTTCTCTGTGCCTCTTCTTGTTGCTTAACCAACCAATCGATTTGTTTCATTAGTATTTGCATATCTTCCTTCATCAATCCCATATTTGATTCCACATCGTCCGCCCGATTGGCCACGCTTCTTGTCGCCAACGATCTCACCACTTTGATACCAATTTGTTATAAAATGGAAACAAAAGCATTCCAAATCTATATTAACCGAATGGTTACAGACTAATCTGACATTTGAGAGGTCAGATACTGTTGGGTCATTGACCAGCATCTTCTTTAATCGAAACGTTGCGTTGACTGCTAGAGCAGGTCATAGGTTCGAATTTCGCCTTCTCCATCAGCAATTGGTTTTGGTATAGTGGTAAGCCCTTGGATCCTAACATGTGGTATTAGAGCAGGTCACAGGTTCGAATCCCATGAGGTGCATGACAATGCCAAAGGCATGTTGTGCAACCATTGTCTTCTAGCAAAGATCTTGTTAGTGCCGGCAGATGTTGGGGAAGGGGGATTGTTGGGTCATTGACGACCATCTTTCTGAATTAAAACGTGGCATTGACTTCTAAGGAAATAAGTTGCGCCTTTTCCATCAGCAATTGCTTTTGGCGTAGTGGTAAGCGCTTGGATCCTAACAGATACTCTCCCAAACTCCCACTCAAGGAATTGCAAAGAGAATAGAATACCCCCCAACTTATCAGACTTCACTACATAATACCCTCCAACCATGACCTGGTCCAATTACAAAACTATCCTTATTCCTCCACTTATTCTATCACCTTCTATTCTTTAAGACTCATATTCTCTGCCGTACTTTCCCCTCCTCACATATGTGAACCAGATTGGAGGTTTAGCATAAATCCTGAGCTTTCTATTGACACCATGGACAGTGTTTTCTGCAACAATCTGTTTTTCTAATAAAGGCTCAACAATGTTAGTAAGAGTAAGTTGCTTTCTTACTGGGTTTAGGTTCACTATCTTCTTCTCTCAGATAATGACTTTCAGTATTAATAGATAGTTCACCGAGTTGTTTAGAAGTTGTTGCTGGAGTGTTAGTACTGCTGCCTTCATCTAAGCTAACATTGATGGTTTCTTCGATGGTGTTCAATCTTTGATTGAAAACTCAGAATGCTTTTGATGTCAGAGAATAACAAACAAAAATTCAAATTCATCAACTTTGGGTCAAACTTTCCCACGTAATCTCCAATGTTCAATATATAGCATACACACCCAAATACATGGAAAAAGCTAGTGTTTGGCTTACTACCATTGAAGAGTTTCTAGGCAGTCTTACCATGATGTCTGACAATGATAGACATGTTCTGGGTGAAATATGCAACGTTAACTGCTTCGGCTCAAATATTGGTGGGTAGACTTGTCTTGCTTAGCGTCGTGCGTGCATCTTCTTTCGGTTCTTTCTTTCAGCAGCATCATTTTGCTAGAGTGTGCATGGCGCTGAGAAGTTGAGACATGTATTTTTCTACAAGAGAAGTGGACAATGTTCTATTTCCAAATTCAAAATTCAATGCTATTACATTTCCCACATCTCTTAAGGTCTATGAAGATGTAATGATGATTTTGAAAGATTCGTGGCTTTTCTTTTATCGAGTGTTTTGTGAAAAGTGGAAACTACCTAGGGGAGGAGTGAGGAATTACAAAGTTGTTCAATGGCACAAAGGTTCTGAGGGGCTGTTTTGTTTCCCAGAATCTTAAGGAATTTGATGGAATTAGAATGACAAATTCCTTTTACCAAATTTCTTGATGTTTGGTTCATGGATTGAATTGATTGGATTCTGCCGAAGTCTGCGTTTGAGGGATTTGATCATTCTTTGGCATAAGTGAAGGCATTGAATTCCATTCATTGGCAAATGTAACATATTTTATAATTTTGTTTTGAAATGACAAAAATAACCTTTGCGTCCAATTTAACGAACACCCCCACCCCCGATGCCACCACCATCATTGCCACCAGCACCACCTCACGCACCCACCCCAGCCCACCCCTACCAACCATCACCTCCGCCACCACCATTGTTATGTTGCATCCTAGAGTAGCTATATTCAGAGGTATCATTGTTTCTAACTTGATACACCTCTCACTGCCAACTTGAGGCAAACTCTTTTAGATCAATTGGAATTCTCTAAAACTGCACAAGCTTTCTCTAAATCCCGTATGCGGGATTTAGCACTTAATCTGAAGTGGCCTGGGACTACTTTATATACAACATGGTATATTCTAATTTCGTTTACATAGTTTCAGGGGCTGCTGCGAGTTTGCTAAAATCATGGCAGTTTTGTCATTTATTTTGAGAGTAGGACGGCCCAGATCAATTTTATATATGGCCAAGACTTCTGTGTCTTGTACAATTTTACATCAAATGACTAGGTTGAAAACAATCACTTACAAGATGTTTAGTTTCTAACTATATATATAGTTGACGTCTCATGTAGTACTAGAATTCATTGGTTGTACAAATGGTGCTCTTTAGATTATATTAAATGGTTGATATTTGAAGCATAGTGTGGCTTGACTGTGTTTGACCATGATGTTTGGCAGGCTTTACTCCATTTTATATATTGGGATAAGCTCCCAGACATGGAAGAAGTTGTGGGTTTGAATCTGAAATTGGCTTCCACACTTATGGCCCAGCATCTGCTTGCAGCAGCCGATCAGTATGGCATTGAGAGGCTCCGGTTTCTCTGTGAAACTAGACTTTGTGAGGATGTTGCCATTAACACTGTAGCCACAACTTTAGCATTGGCAGAACAGCATCATTGTTTCCAGCTCAAATCTGTTTGCCTGAAATTTGTTGCGGAGCCTGAAAACCTCAAAGGTACTCTACTACAATCATCTGTTTGTCTGGTTGAAACTTTAAGAAATTTAATAAAAATTGGAATGTCATATTTGTAACTGGTTTCATGATGATTTAATTGAAAGAAGTTTGTGTATTTCTTTTTTGGGAACAAAGGTTTCTAGGCTTGGAGTACTTGCTCTCTTTTTCTCTTACTAGGGTCATTGTCCTTAAGTTTACATGAAGTGCTATCTTCTTTGATTTCCAAAAATTTATCGACATAAAAACCAGTTCAAAATAATAAATAATGCTTGTTGGAACCATATTCGACGTAATTCCACGCAAAATGAAAATGGTTTCTTGAACATGCCATGCTGATGCCAATTATATTACTGCTGTTGTTTATGTATTCAGCCGTGATGCAAAGCGATGGATTCGATTACTTAACACAGAGCTGCCCTTGTGTGATTACGGAGCTGTTGGAATATGTGGCTAGGATCAGAGAACACTCGGTCACATCTTACGGACGTGGGACTGGGAACGATGATGGCAGTGGCGCAGATGGGAGGCGTGTTCGACAAAGGATCTTCTGATGTTAATATGACGATGTATGTACCCTTCTTTGCCTTTCAAGTAAAAACCTCAGATTGTAATATAACCTGATCTGCTACCGCTATTTCTCCATCTGCAATGTTTTTGTATACCAAATTTATCGTAGTATTTGCGGGTTTCTACTCATGGGTGTATCTGAAGATCGGGTTGCAACCTCCCACTGCACTTTACTTTAACTGGTCTCAATGGCCTGGAGAAGATACCTTAACTGGTGGCTTTTGTTTTTTTGTTTTTCTCAAGTAGATTACTATTTCTTCGTTGTATTTATTTAATGAAATAAACGTGTTAAAACATAAAATGTTTTCTTCAATCAATTGATAGTGTGCAAATTGCATCAAATTGAAATAAACATCGTCTTAATTATTATTTTAGGAAACCAATTTTTAAAACAATGCAAGGTCAGGTATCTACTTAGGTATTGTTTGGTAAAAATAAGCTAATTTATAAGATATAGTTTTTTGAGTAATTATTTAGATTTATATAAGTTAGCTTATAAGGTATCTTATAAACTAGCTTATTGATAAGCTATTTTTTTGACACTTTTACTAAAATATTAATTATTAACTATTGT